TCCCTGTACATCATACGTTTTCTCAGAGCAATAACTAAGATTTTGGCAAAAGATAAAAATGGCGCCTTTTTATTTTATTATTAAAAATATTTATTCTAAACAAATGCTATTATATAAAAAATTATCTGATGACATTTAAATAGCATTTAAATATAAAATTTTTTTGTGTTACTAATTTCGAAACCTTCTCGTTGGAGCCTTTATTGAATAGGCGCTTATGGCAGGGGGCCAAATTGGCCATACATTAGTTATGGCTCTGCATTTCCTGTTAGCAAGAAAGTTGTGTCTATCATCTATCTAACTTCATTCTGAAGAACAAGGACTGGCAGATGGACGTCAGTCAGAATTTATAGGTTAAAAGTTTTCTAAATTGCAACCTAATAACTAAGTAATAATTACTGCTAATTACATTTCTTCAGGCCATGCAGTAGAAACATGCCCTTTATGAATATTTATTTCATTATTATTTAATTTTTTCAGTATACTACCGTTTATTAGTACACAAGATTTTGTAAGAAAAATTGAATTTTCATTAACTTTCGGTACTTTCAACTTTGACAACACATCTTATAGCGATTGCATACTACAAATATTATCGAGCGTTAGTACGAGGTATTTCCCTACAAATATTTCTTAAGACCTACTGTAAAAGTAGTTTTAGTTTCCACTTATATTCCTAACCAATATAACCATCCAAATGTGTGCCATCACAATTCCGAAAAAAATCTAGCATCTACTTTCTTCAGTTCACTTCATACAAGGTATACTGGAATTAACATTGTCATTTTATGGCGATCGATTTCTGAGCGATGCTCTTCACACGTTACGAAGTTCCTGTAGCAGATTCTAAAAGGACGTAATAAAAAAACTCTTTATTACTTAACTAAAATTCCAGTTTGAAGTGAACTGGTGCAAATAATTAAAAATATGCCTTTTCTATAAATGTGTAAACAATTACAGTGAAACTACATACTGTATTTAAAATGTCTATCAGAATAATAATACTATAATTTCAAAATTTTCATTCATTTTTAGGTGGATATACAGTATTGTGACTTGAGTAATTTTCAGTTACTGGATCAAGTTATCTCTGAAACTCTTCGCTTCTGGCCATTCTCTTTAATGTAAATTTTAGTATAAACTTACGAAGTTAAATATAAAATGTAATATATATATTTTCTGTAAATATTTTTATACGTAGAGGTGTAAATCGCATATGTGCAGAAGATTATCGTTATAAAGACATCACCATACCAAAAGGTTGTACGATAACAATTCCAATACAGGTTTTGCAAAATGATCCAGCTTATTGGAGAGAACCGGATAAGTTTAATCCCTACAGGTGATATAGTGCTATACTAATTGTAGTTAAATTATGTCTACATTTAGCTTATTAACATGTTTTGAAAGAGTAATTATAAAAAGTTTTCCATGGTTTTAGATTTTCTTCTGAGAAACTGCAGAAAACCGATTCCATCATTTACCAACCATTCGGAGCAGGGCATAGAATGTGTTTAGGACAGAGGTTAGCAATAACTGTAATAAAGTTAGTACTGGCAAATCTGATTCGATCGTTCAAATCAGAAAAATATGGAGATGTGACCGTAGGGTCGGCACCTCTTTGGCGCCCTGTCAGGATGACACCACCGAGTCTCTAGGGGACTCGGAAATCGCGACGTTAAGTCTAAAGATTCGCGAGCGGTAGCGTGTAAGCGCTTGGATTCGGAGTAGAGGTGAGGAGAGAGACGAGGAAGTGACTCACTCGGANTGCTGTGGATAGTAAGTGTAGGTGGAAGGATAGTGAAGATAGGCAATACAGAAATTGTAAGAATTTTTAAATATTTATTGTCGGGAAATGTCTGTGTTCTTAACTAGTTTTAGTGATAATTGTACCGAAGATGTTTTTATTGTTGATTGTTGTTAATTATAGAAAGTGTCGTTGGAAGGCCTGCTGAAGAGGGACGAGCAAGTCCGAAACACATGTTTAAAGTGTATGTGTTCAGGTGAACTAAATAAAGAACATTATTTTTGAACTGTAAAACTAAATATCTGCATCCATAATTCCAGTATAATAAGTCCTGTTAATATATAGATTGTACTTGTAATACAAAATAAATTTTAAATACAGTTACCTAAATGTATCATTAAATCAGTTCTATTTTACTGTTAAAACAGAAAATTATATGTGTTAATTTTAATGTGTTAATATAACAGATATAAATTTGGGCCAAATAGAAATGAAAAATTATATATAATTGCACCATTTTTAAATAACATTGAAACAAGTTATAAGTTCTTCTTACAAAAAAGTAGAAAGCAAATACGAAAAATTATTTTATTCTGACATTGTTACAATGCCGAGATACAGTTTTAACGATATTTTTAATTGATTACATTCAAAATATATGCTCTCCATCTCAGATCAGTAATGGCTTGTCCCTGTACATCATACGTTTTCTCAGAGCAATAACTAAGATTTTGGCAAAAGATAAAAATGGCACCTTTTTATTTTATTATTAAAAATATTTATTCTAAACAAATGCTATTATATAAAAAATTATCTGATGACATTTAAATAGCATTTAAATATAAAATNATGATTTAGAAGTTATAGAATGGGTATTATGATAAGAATTGATGACCGTGCAATTCAGACACTTTTCTAGTTCATAATCAAGCTGAAAAAATTATGTTGATTACTATAAGTCAGTGATCCCTAACCCCCGGATTGCCCAAAAAACATTAAATTATTTCCATTTTATTTACTTTGGTATATTTCTCTCGGGTTTGTGCGACTTTTAATGGACGAGTGGTTAACCGGGAGCTGAGAGTCGTCACCTAAAACTGCACCAATACCGTGCATGCGCAAAATATCGTGATATCGAGGCGGTTTCAAGTGACGTATGGAGTTGAGCGGCTGTAAGCGGCAGTGGCGTTGTAGCTTTGGTGGAGACAAGGTGTATATCCCTCTCAGTGGCGTAGCATGGGTGTCAGTTGCCCGGGGCAAAGGAAAATTTTACCTTCTTTTTATTTAGGTATCCCAATTTAAGACTAAAATTTAGTTTCGTCACAGAACAAGTAATGAATAATTCCGTACTAGTGTTGCCACTTTTTTAAAATCGCTGACCCGGACGGCAGGTGAGGTTTGTTTGAACAGAAGTTCTTGACGCGTGCGTATGTCATTTTGCAATGCGAAGAATAATGTGCAGTGCATGCCGGTTCTGATTCAGTTACAGTTAGCGACTAGGAAAATTTGGGTAGGAGTACCGTGTTATAGGGGGTCGACTGTATACAGAAATAAGATGGTTATTCAGAGGAAAATCGCTGACTAGAGTGTTTGAATTATGAAAGCCATTGCAAAGATTTGTCTCAGAAAAGAAGTCACTGCTGGCAGCACATTTCAGTTACAAGGTATCGGTCGCAAAACTGGCTTACCTGTGCAAGATATTCAGCTTGCTGAATGAACTCGATCTCTCCCTTCAGGGGAAAATGACAACGGTTTTTAAGTTGGCACACAAAGTAAATGCATTTAAACCAAACTGGAGTTGTGGGGACAGCACGTGAACACAGGAATTGTGGACATGTTTCAGACATTAGTGGGTATTTTAGGCGAGACTGAGCCTGAGCATTCATTCTCTCAGTTGGTGCATGATAACCTGTCTTTGCTTTTAAAAGAGTTCGAGTACTATTTCCCAACCACAAAAGACCCACGAACTGGTAAGTAATGGATCTGCTACCATTTTTCAACAAACCAGGCGAATCTAGCATGTCTGTGCAAGAAGAAGATCAACTGCTGGAGATTGCAATTGACGGCGGCCTTAAAACTACATTCGAGACAACAACTCTGCCTGTGTTCTCAATTAAAGTCATGGCGGATTACCCCGAGATTGCCGCCACAGCACTTAAATCTCTATTACCATTTCCAACATCCTATCTGTGTAAAGCGAGGTATTCTGCAGTGACAGCGACCAAAACAAAACAACGGAATTAACTGGGCATAAGCAACACACTTCAGGTGTCATTGTCTCTTGTTACTCCCGGATGGAACCGTCTCGTTGCAAAGAAACACGCTCAGTGTTCTCATTGATTTAGCGTTCTAATAAGTTAAAATGTTAAATCGCTTTATATTCGTTTTTTGGTGCAACTGTATTTTATTTTGAAGGCAGGTTTAAATACAATTAAATTAAAATTATTAAATCAAAACAATCTAAAATATAAATAATCAATGTTCCCTATCTAGAAATTCGATAAAATATAATTAGTAAATAATTTTCAGAAGATCAGTTGCAATATTTGTATTTTAATACTGTAATTTCAATTTAATTTATTTTCATATTTATTTTTATCTGAATATTGTTTACTGCAGTCTATTAAATTTTTTTACAGGAAAATGAGAGAGTATACTATCTATACTACTGGTATCCTAAGAATGGTATAAAGGTGAAAGCAACTCCATTATTTTCATCATTTTAAACATAAATAATCATCAGTTAACACATGTTTTTGAAAACTAATTGCATTCGACGTAATACAATCTTTGAAAACTTATTTGTATTCATTGCTGTTTCAAATTGAATAATAAAGTGTAATGTTAAAAATAATTAATGAATTTCTTAAATAAATAGTGTTCAATGCTATTCCTAATTGTTTCTTCCTTGTATATGTTGCATTAGAATTCAGCGTTGTGAAATAGATAAGTTCTATATCTATTATTCCTTAATGAAAAGTAGTTATGTGGGCGAAGAACAATGTCTTTACATAGTTTATAAATTCGAAATAAGTCTATTACTCACAAAAATTCCTTTACCTTTACCATTATTTTGTTATTATTATGTTGCCAGTGAAGACAGTTTTGGAATCACAGCAGTTGCACGTTTATATGCTATTGAAATCCAGTTTATATTTACATCTTTTTATCTTTGTCGTGAAAGTGGTCAGTACATTAGTAATGCCAAAAAGAACTTCTGAAATCTTTTTAAAATTAGCCTACAGATCGTAAATAATGCCAATAAAAATTGCTTTACGATCTACTCCAATTTACTCATAATATTATGAGAATATTTTCAACTAATAGTAGCTTTCTTTACCTCTCATATACATGCATTTCATATACGAATCCTGATTTGTTTTGAATGAAGTTGTTTTTGTCAAAAATAATTTTTATCTACCTAGCAATGATAGAATCTGTATTATATTATATATGTAATAAGTTGACATTTATTTGTAACTAGAGGAGAAAGACTTCTCTGCATGCCAATGAAACTTTTGTAATGAGGGTAAGGTGATGAAGATGATTTAGAAGTTATAGAATGGGTATTATGATAAGAATTGATGACCGTGCAATTCAGACACTTTTCTAGTTCAGAATCAAGCTGAAAAAATTATGTTGATTACTATAAGTCAGTGATCCCTAACCCCCGGATAGCCCAAGAAACATTAAATTATTTCCATTTTATTTACTTTGGTATATTTCTCTCGGGTTTGTGCGACTTTTAATGGACGAGTGGTTAACCGGGAACTGAGAGTCGTCACCTAAAACCGCACCGATACCGTGCATGCGCAAAATATCGTGATATCGAGGCGGTTTCAAGTGATGTATGGAGCTGAGCGGCTGTAAGCGGCAGTGGCGTTGTAGCGTTGGTGGAAACAAGGTGTATGTCCCTCTCAGTAGCGTTGCGTGGGTGTCAGCCGCCAGCGGGCAAAGGAAAATTTCACCTTCTTTTTATTTAGTTATCCCAATTTAAAAGACTAAAACTTAGTTTTGTCACAAAATAAGTAATAAAAAATTTCGTGTCAGTGTTGCTACCTTTTTAAAATCGCTGACCCGGACGGCAGGCGAGGTTTGTTCGAACANAGTCTCGGGAGGACAAGGGTTTAAAGTAGGGTGAGTTCTATCTGGCCGTATATTTTAAAATATTTTTAAAAAATTCAAATTTTAATTGCGATTTCTGATCCCCTGACTTAATTAAACAAGTATATAATAAAATCTATTAATTAAAATCTATTGGAGGTGGTTTTTGACATCAGAAAGCAGCTTTAAATAACTTTACCAAAGGAAAATCCGTGCGCTACAACTTAGGAACCATGAAATAAATTTGATAAAAAACTCCCATTCAAAAACAATTAAGCCATAATCGAGCCTTATCAAAGGCTCATTAAAATCGCGATAAAATTTTTTCGCGCGGGCAAAAAATTTTGAAAAAATTTGAAGACAAAAAACATTCCAAAAATTCAAAAAAAAAAACTTTGTCGGGCCCAAACGCCCGCGTTTTTCGTAACACTATGCATCTTGCCCGAGATATCTCGGGATATGCGCTTAAGTTGTAGCGTCAAAAATTACTGTCCTGTTTACATCAGAGTCTCACCATCATACTATAATTGTGATCTTGATAACGCAAGATCTGTTTCCGAAAAATGGAATTATGAAAGAGTAGTAATGGTTTGAGTGGCACTAATCACAAAATTTAATTTCAGATGTCAATTAAATTAAAATTTGCAAATAAAAATTTGTCGAATGAAGTTATTTCAGATCACAGAATTAATTTTTTAATGAATTACCTAAATAAATTTCTGTGGCACTAATCACAACAGTAATTTTTACTCAAAGGAAATAATCCGAATGTTGAGAATATTCAAGTAAATTTTTAAAATACGAAAGAATTAAATGTTTTATTATCGAATAAAATTAAAGCACAATAATTGTATAAAATAATATAACATATAAACAAATTATTTTTTTCTTTTCACACGAATAGGTCAAACAAGTTTTATTTTATTTAAGCTTTTCCAGTTTTTCATTCACTTTATCTAAAACATGACATATTCCTGGTCTAATTTCTGATATTTTATAAATTAAAATTACAAATAATTTGTCGAGTAATAGTTTTATTATCAATACTAGAATTAATTATTTTCTTGACGGTTATTTGTCTTAATATTCTGGTACATGACAGTTTGAAATAATATAAACACTGAAATTATTTTGAAAAGGTTTTTATTTTTACGTTACAGTTTATTTAAGTGTTTCCACTTTTTCCTTCAGTTTATCTAAACCAAGAAATTTCTGCACCTAATAATTTTTCAGGATATAAATTATTTTCAGATCAAAAATTTCTCGATTAAATTAAGATTATAAATATTTAGAAAACTTTTTATTTCATTTTAGTTTTTATAAAATATCTTGTAACAATAAGGCAGTATTAATTATTAAATGTTTTTATAAATTTGAATTAAATTAATTTTATTTTAACAATAAATTGCTGGCCAAGTATTTGGTAACGA